TTTTTGGGAAATTCAGGACATCCACTATATCCAGCTCCCCTTACCCTTTGGAAGAAGAGAACAGACAAATATTTTTTTTACTTTCTTTGTGTAGCTAATATACTCCTCTTCTTCACACTTTGGCTCTATGTTTTATCCTGTAGACATGGGATGGGATAGAGCTACGTTCAAATGTAAAGTGTAAAAATTTAGGGTTAAAGTGATTTCTACAGCTCCGAATTTTATTAAATATATTTGCTTTTTTCATACTTTTCCTCAATTATGTAATTTTCAATAAGAATCTAAAAATAATATATAAATAAAATAAGATAATTTTAATCAATATGAAAAGTGTACTGATTTCTGTAGAGAAGTCTAACTGTATATCAGCAAATATAGTTTTATCTATGAATTATACAGATTGAAATATTTGAAATATTATATGTATCTATATATATGGCTCTGAATATATACATAAATAAAACATTACTATTATATAATAGCCCATGATCTCTTACACCCACAATTGAAACAAATTACATCAAATGTATTATCTTTTTTATGCCAATATTAAAAAGTATAATTTAATAGTATGTTTTTGTTCCTTTGTTTTTGAAATTTTTTATCAAATTTAACTCTCCAACATCCTTATAATCGAGGTGCCAATTTTCAGAATGGACTAATAGAATACAAATTTATTGAAAGAACTAGTGATTACTTAGAGATTGCTTTGCATTTTTTGTAAAAAATAGATTGTGTAATGTAAATGCCTTGATTTCTCTAGTGTAATAATAAAGTGATTTCTTTAAATGAAGAATCATTTTAGGTTCAAGAATTGCAGTTCAGCTTGGTTAACCAGATTTTCGAATTAGGGAAATAGCTCATTGCAGAACTTACAACCTTTTTTAAAAGACTATTTAAATTTGACTTAATACCAGTGTATAAAGTTACTCATACCCCTCTAATACCCCAAAGGTATATTTGAGAAGAATGTCTTGTTTTTAAGTAGTGAGGGAAGGATATTTTGACATAGGAACCATTCACTAAACACAGACACATTTAAGAAGAAAATCTAAATTTATTTTCTCCTTGAAACCTTGGGAGAAAAAAGTAGTACTCATTCACTTATAAAGATTTGGGGCTTGTGGAGATGTTAGGCTGACTTACACAGAGAAAGTAATCCTTTTGAGATTGTTAAACCATGCACCTTAAATGCCTGTTTGCTACATACAGTTTCAGTTTCTTATTTTTCTAGTGTGGCTGGCACTGAAGAAGCAATAATAAATTATTAAACTGAAATCATTAACTGACTGTTCACAGCAGACACTGTACTCTGCTAATTGTATGCTTGGAGGTAGCACAGAGGGAGGCTGTTTCAGAATTCTTCTTTAATTAAAATTACACAGAATTACAAAGCACCAACTGTGAACAGTAATGAAATCTTGGTAGAACCATTCTGTTCACCTGGAAAACAATACAGGCACACATTGAGAAGAACTGCCACGTTTTATATTTAATAACAGAATTAAGTGGACATTGTCAGAAAACACTGAAAATATGACAGTAGATTCTAGGAGCTATTTTGAGTGGTATCTTTTTATTTTCCTTTGAAAATCTGACTTGAAAGAATTACTGATAGTTTGGGTTAATCTTAATTTGAATTTGCCTTTTCAAACTTTTCACATTTCAGCCTTGCCTAATAACTTAAGATATTGAGCAGTTCTTTTAAATACAGTTCTCTGGGATTCTTATGCTGTGTTCCAAAACATATTTTTCATTTGAAGTAACCCTGAGATTTATGTTATAAAAAGTATTATTAGGTTGGTGCAAAAGTAATTATAGTACTTACTAAAATAAGTAAAATTCTTGGACATAACAAACCTTTATATTGCTAACGAAGTTTGAGAAACCATAGAAACTTTGGACATTTTCTGTTACAAGAAAAATTGGAAGTCTTTAATAGTGCATTGTCAGAGTGGTCCATCTTAGACTTTTTTAATTTTGTTTTTATTTTTGAGATGGAGTTTCGCTCTTGTCACCCAAGCTGGAGTACACTGGTATGACCTTAGCTCACTGCAACCTCCACCTCCAGTGTTCAAGCTATTCTCCTGTCTCATCCTCCTGAGTAGCTGGGATTACAGGTGCCCGCCAACACGCCAGGCTAATTTTGCATTTTTAATAGAGATGGGGTTTCACCATGTTGGCCAGGCTGGTTTTGAACTCCTGAGCTCAGGTGATCCGCCCTCCTAGGCCTCCCAAAGTATTGGGATTACAGGTGTGAGTCACCATGCCTGGCCAGGCTTTACTTTGTATAATGTTTTATTACAAATTTCTATCTTAGGCTTAACTTTTATGCTTAGTTTATAGAGTTTTTTTTTTTTCATGTAAATAGCAAATATAAAGAGCTTCAATTATAAGTATTTATTTGTTTTTAGAAAGAACCAGACTCTTTATAAATAAAACTAATATATCAGACAGACTACTATTGAATACCATTTTCTAATTCCATCATTTTAATAATAATGTTGAGGGGGGCATTCAACTTCTGTGCAAATATATCAAATGCAGCTTATTAATTTATAATTAATTTTTTAGAACCAAGTTGTCTCTTTAAACCTCGTTACATATTTAACCACCTATAAATATGGTAGAATTTGTGAACTATGAATTTTCACTTAAGATTTTTTACTTTGCTTAAACAGCATCTATTGACTTCACTAAAATTTCTAAGAACCCTCTCAGAAATTTTAAAATACTAACTCAGTTCCAGTAAAAGTACAAATGT